GTACCCAAAAAAAAAAAAAAAAAAAAAGACTGATGGAAGTTGAGAAATTCCAGCAGTTTCCCCCCTAGAAGTAGAAGCCACAATCCTCATGTGATTGAGTCCCTCTGATAAGCATGTTATATATAAACCTCTGTGGTCCAAAGTTTTCTCACAAACAGAGATAAGTCTCTTCCATGTGGGCATCAAGAGCTACACACTTATTTGGGGTCCTGGGAGTAACTGGCTCCTCCTGTCTCTCTCAGAGCATTTTGCATAAGCAGGTGGGCTGTGGGGGGGGGGGGTTGGTCATCTAGCTAGTGGTTTAAGATTTTTAACTCACAGGTCTGGGAACTGTGGATAAGATGAGACTTTCACGGAGTCTTTCTCCTCTTTCAGCTTTGCCTGTCGCTACAAAGGTAGTATTATGGAAGACTGGGTGGTAACTGGGTTACTGGCAGTGTAGCCACAGTTGAGTGGCCTTTTTTTTCCTCCTGAAATAACAGCATAGCAGGAAATGAGGGCTTATATGTAGCTAGTTTATTTTGGGAAGTGATCTCAGAAAATAAGAGTGGAGGCAATGGGAGAGTAAAACAGCGAAGAGAAAGCCAACCCAAGAAAGGGGTACTGAGGTGGTCACCACTGTGGACAACTGGCCTCTGTCTAGCTGGAAGTCCTCTCCCTCCCATCAGAGACCAAGAAGCTGGGGACCTGCCCACTGGTTTCCATCATCCATTGTTAAGCATTTCCACAGGAAGACTGAACTCCCCTGCAGGTCCAAATCTGCGTATTGCCAGAAAGGCTTCCTGCACCACATCAGTAGAGAAGCTCCTGGGAGGAACACAAGAGAAATGGACTTAAGGAGCTCTCTGATTTCACCTGGGTTCAGGAACAGCCATGGTAAGGATGTGGCCAAGAGATGGAGTATAGAAGTTGTCCAAGGTCAGCCTTCCCTGTTCATGCTTTGGTCTACGTGTAGCTTAGCATATCCCAGAGCCAGGCAAGATGCTGGTGAGCCACAATCTCTATTTAAGACTCAACATAAGCCGATTAGTGGGGAACCCCCCCCATTTCCCACTACTGCAACTAGACATGAGGTCATAACTGATTCTTATTATCTCCATCCTTTACCAACCATATTATAATTCCTCCCCCCAAGTCAGCACTTACAGGTCTAAGATGCTTATATACTGGGGAAACACAGACCTTTATCTCTAAAGCGTCTGATCCCTTACATGTTTCACCCTGACATAAGAGCTGACTGCTGTGAGGGTCCACTGAAGATTATCCCTGGGTATGAAGCACATCAGAGAATCCCCTGGGATCAGATGTACTCTTCACAGTGTCTTTTAGAACATTCACAAGTTTTCTCACCTGTCAGCCTTCCACCGCACAAAATCCTTTCTCATTAAATTGGAATCTCCAAGTTCAAACACTCTTCTACCCAAGAATTCCCTCCCATGAATTCATCATTCCACAAATTCTCCCAGAGGCTTATTTTTGGTCATATATGGCCCTGGGGAACATGAGCCCTTGAATCATCCAAGGTCAAGATGAAGAGTGGGATTCACCTGCCTAAATGAGCAGCCCTGGATGCCTAATGTGATGCTCCCTTTATCCCAGTTCTCCAGGAGCCACTTAGGATTCATGAGTCTGGGACTCTAAGGTTCTGAGAGCCCATGATCCCCTTATGACTCACAAATGCCTGGGCCTCATGGCCATCCTCCTCTCTTCCTCTCCTGAAGAGGCTTACCCTAGCACCCAGCATCTGAATAACAGAAGCCAGTTTTGGGGGCCTTAATTCCACCTCTCACACTAAGGCCCAGAAATAGGTATTACTGAGGTCAGGGTATGAAGGGCTCTTCATACCCTCTTCAAGATGTGGAAAGTAGGGGCAACAAGGCAAGGGAAAAGAAGGAATGATGATGGAAAGAGCTGCAGAAAACCAGGACCCCTGGAATGGAGTCGAGAGATCACTCCCACAAAGGCCCATGGGAAAGTGGCTCTAAATGCAGACCCCCTGATGTGTTAAAACTGTGCGAAAGTAGGGTGAGGTAGTAGGGGTGCCTCTATTACCCAGGGAGGCAGAAGGTAGGGAATCAGTGACAGCAACTTGAGCTGACGTTGAAAGTTTCTATCCTCACCCCCATGGAAGCTGGAAAACAAGCAGATACAGCAAGTAGCCCCTTGTGTGCCCTCTCTGGTCCCTCCCAAAGCCAAAGAGGTGCCTCCTCCCCACGGTTCCATCCTGTGGGCACTTCAGCATTAGAAGAAAATTTGGGAAACAGAGGGAGAAATCTGCGCCGGGGGACAAAGCTCAAGAAAATGGGGCGAGGCATTTGGAGGGCTAAATGAAACTACCCCGAAAGAGACAGAGCCGAGCACTTTTGGGGTGAGGTTGAAGGACAAGGCCAGCAAGAACACAGGGGCTGCCTTGATCTCAGTTTTACTTACCAGGTCCTGCAGTCCTGAGTCTGAGATGCCTTATCACCCATCAGAAATGAGGCACCAGGGCTTCCCTGGTGGTGTAGTGGTTAAGAATCCACCTGCCAAGGCAGGGGACACGGGTTTGAGCCCTGGTCCAGGAAGATCCCACATGCCGTGGAGCAACTAAGCCCGTGCGCCACAACTACTGAGGCTGCGCTCTAGGGCCCGCGAGCCACAACTACTGAAGCCCGTGTGCCGAAAGCCCATGCTCAGCAACAAGAGAAGCCACTGCAATGAGAAGCCCACGCACTGCAACAACGAGTAGCCCCCGCTCACCGCAACTAAAGAAAGCCTGTGCGCAGCAATGAACACCCAATGCAGCCAAAAATAAATAAATAAATTTATAAAAAAAAAGAAAGAAAGAAAGAAATGAGCTACTAGCCCCTACAGCAAAAATCCATCTATTCCTCCCTGGCAGGAAATTCTATGAAGCCCAACAGTCCTGGAAGTGTCTGCCTCCTTTTCCCATCCCGTCTCCTCCCACAATCCTTTATTGTGAAGATCTCACAACACCTCAAGACTATCATTGCAGAGATGGGGCCAATTTTAACCCCTGTCCATGAAGGAGTGACTGGAAGGCATCCAAAGCTATCTGCACCCACCTGGACAGAGGTCCCCTTTGCATCTCTCCCTGATTTCTGGGCCTGACAGTGGTCTTGCTGGGCCAGACTTGTGTGCTGTCTCTACAGTTTCTACATGGATTTTAAGAGAAAATAAACATTTTTTTCCCATCATGTTTAAAGCAAGGTGTAAGACTATTAATTTTTCCACTTTTGTTGCCCTATCAGAAAGCAGCTTTGAGGTCACGTGGAATGATGGTGGGGGGCCCCCCCCTTCTCTGCTCGGCAAACCCTAGAGAAAACACAGACTTCCCTCTGTGGCTTTTAGCTAAGGCCATGGGAAAAGGGGCAGCACTATGGTGGTAGACCGGGCAGTAGTGCCTGAGTTGAAGTGTGGGGGGGGAACCTACACTCCAGGTGCTCCCAGCCCTTACCCCCTACCAGGCTAACCTTGGAGACAACCACTAACAGGTGAGAGGCTGTGGACAAAGGCATATGGACCAACAACCCCTTTTATCTCTCCTCCAGCCCCAAACCAAGCCAGATTTTGGTGGTGGTGGTGGGGGGGGTGTTACAAAAAAATCTCTCTCCTCCCTCTCTGTGGCAAATATCCTCTTGGCAAATAAAGACACTGGGGCCTGAGTAGACAGCCCTCCAGGGTATACCAATGACATATAGCAGTAGGGCCAAGAATAAAGTCAGGCGAACTATCAGGAACCTGGGCCACATGGGCCCTGGGAATGTAAGATAAGTGAAAGTGGGTTTGGTTCAAAGGGCCTTAGAACAATTACTGGAGGACTGATGTGAGAGTGTGGCTAAAAGACTGGGCACTGAGATTGAAGGGCTCAGGAGGGGCTGTGTTCAAAAACCCTAAAACCTGGTATTGGAAGGCCAATGGTGGGGCATTGCTAGTAACCTTATCCCTGTCCTTGGAGGGCCAAATAACATGGTTTTGAGGTTTAGATCCTGAGACTGAAGAATATGGGGGTGTGGTTAAAGGGACCTGGGTTTGGAACTGGAGAGTTAGGAAGGAGACATGGTTAAGGAGTCCCTCAGATTGGAGGGTGAGACTGAACCCTGAGTAACACCTAAAGTGGGGTAGAAGAGGATGCATCAAAGGCTAGAGACATAGACAAAAATAGAACAGGAAAGTGTCATAGAAGCCAACAGAAGGACACAGCTGAAGAAGGAAGTAGATAGAAGCAAAGACCACTTCTCCAAGAGGACCATCACTTGGTACCTCTGTTCTCAGAGGCTAGACCTCTGCCATCTTCATACTCACAGAGGGTGTAAGGGGTCAGAAGACTGTCCCTGAAGCCCTCGCAGAGCTCTAGCAGGGTGGTAATGGATGGTGGAGAGATTTGACTCCCAGTGTTTCTTATGAGGTCACCTCCAGCTAACACCTTACCCTCACTCCCTGTCAGGCTTCTCCTTGAGCATGTCCTCTGCTCTGTGATGAGGAGTGATGTCCAGCTAAAGCCTCACCCACACTACCTCACAATCAAGGCTTCTCCCTTGAGTGTGCCCTCTGATGTGGCTGACAACTGACTTGTTGCTAAAGTCATACTCTCACTCCTTGCACACCTAAGGCTTTTCCCTGAGTGTGTTCTCTGGTGTCTGATGAGGGCTGACTTATGGCTAAAGCCTTGCCCACATTCCCTGCACACATAAGACTTTTCCCCTGAGGGCACCCTCTGATGCGTGCTGAGAGCTGACTTGTGGCTGAAGTCTCGCCCACATACCCTGCAACTCGTAAGGCTTCTCTCCTGTGTGTGTCCTCTGGTGTGTGTTTAGGATTATCTTGAGGCTAAAACCCCACCCACACTCCCTGCAAACAAAAGGCTTCTCATCTGAACGTGTCCTGTGGTGTGTGATGAGGTGTGATTTCACCCTAAAGCCCTGGCTACAGTTCCTGCACACATAAGGCTTATCCCCTGTGTGAATCCTCTAGTGCTTAATGAGGTCTGACTTTTCACTAATGCCTCGCCCACACATCATGCAAAGGGCTTCTCCCTTGTGTGTATGTGACTTGTGGCTAAAAGCTTGCCCACACTTCCCTGCATACATAAAGCTTCTCACCTGAGCATGTACTCTGGTGGTTGTAGAGGGGTGACTTATCTATAAAGCCTTGCCCACAACTCCCCACATATATAAGGCTTTTCCCCTGTGTGTCCTCTGATGTCTGTTGAAATGTGACTTCCTGCTAAAGCTTCGCCCACACTTTCTGCACACAGGAGATATCTCCGCTTGTGACAGCCTGTGTCTGAAGAGGCTTGACTTCTGGCTAAAACCTAGTCCACACCTCTAAACCTGACTGCTCCAAATCCTGAGAGTTCTACCCTCTCAGGAATGTTGTCTGCTTCCCCAGAGCTTACCCCTGGGCTGGACTGAGCTGTACCTTCAACACTTTGTTGCCTCCCTGAGAGCTTACTGGTGGTCCCTGGGGTGGGCTAGAGAAAACCAATTAAGTCCGCTTCTCATTTGTACTCCAAAACAAAGGTGTAGATCCCATTCCTTGATCTTCTGCTTTGGCCCCCCAGTGGTTTTTATCAGAATGTTGTTGCTGCCGCTGCTGGTGGTCATCTGGGCAAGGATCCCCTGGTTGGAGTTGATTTCCTGCACATGAATATGGAATAAGATGACTGCAGAGTTCATGGTGGCTGAGAAATTGCTGACCGTCAAAGGCCAGAGGGCAGAGGGCAAAGGGGCCAGGGATGGACTTCTGGCTTTGAATCTGCTGAAGAAAGAAAGTTTTCAGTCAAAGTAGTCAGAGGAAGGGCTGGCTGGGCTTTTCTTCCTTGTCTTATAGTAAGAACTGGCCCATTAATCATTCACAGCCGTTAATGTCTGTCTCTCCAAGACATGCTTCACCAGACCTATATTTCCATTCAGCTTCTTTTGACTTTTTATTTGGAAATAATTTCAAATGTACAGAAAAGGTGCAAGAATAAGGACAATACAAAGAACAGCTGTATACCCTTTACCCTAATTACCTACTGCTAACATTTGTATGTTATATATGTATATGTGTGCATACGTATATGTATGTATTTTTTTTTCTTTGAATCATTTGAGAGTAAACTGCATACATCAATGCCCTTTACCCCTAAATACTTCAGTGTGTGTCTCATAAAAGTAGGGATATTCACTTTCTTTTTTCTTTTTTTTTTTTTTTTTGCTGTACGCAGGCCTCTCACTGTTGTGGCCTCTCCCGTTGCGGAACACAGGCTCCGGACGCACAGGCTCAGCTGCCACGGCTCACAGGCCCAGCCGGTCCGTGGCGTGTGGGATCCTCCCGGACCCGGGCACGAACCCGCGTCCCCTGCATCGGCAGGCAGACTCTCAACCACTGCACCACCAGGGAAGCCCTGCAGGTGGATTCTTAACCACTGTGCCATCAGGGAGTCCTCGGCATTGGCATTTTTTTTTTTTTTTTTGCAGTACACGGGCCTCTCACTGTTGTGGCCTCTCCCGGTGCGGAGCACAGACTCCGGATGAGCAGGCTCAGCGGCCATGGCTCACGGGCCTAGCCACTCCGCGGCATGGGGGATCTTCCCGGACCGGGGCACGAACCCGTGTCCCCTGCATCGGCAGGCAGACTCTCAACCACTGCGCCACCAGGGAAGCCCTTGGCATTGACTTTTAAAGGGAGAGATGATGAGATCTGCTGGAGGGCTGCAGTCATGGGGTGGGAGAGAAAGAGGACTTGAGGATGACTCCATGGTCTGAGAAACTGAATAAGCTGAACTGCTGTTACCTCGATGGGATAGTCTATGGAAGGGGCAGGTGGGGGGTGGCAGTCATATCAGGAGCTTAGTTCTGGGCATGTGGAGACACTTATGGGACATCCAATAGATGTCAAGCAGGCAGTCTGATATATATGAATGTAGATTTCAGGGGAGGAGTCCAAGCTTGGGAGGATGTCATAGACGGCTTGACAAAGGTCTGGGACCCCTCGTGCTCCTCTGTAGGTAAAGGTTTTCCACAGAATTTGAAAGTTCCTTCAACACCTGCCACAGTCTGGACAGGAGATCATGCTTTATGGGGTCATGGTCTGGCCCTCAGACTCACTGGGCTGGAAACTCCATCTTAACTGTGTCCTTCTCAGTTGCCCCGCGAAAACTTCCGCTTGAACTCTGGTAAAGTTAACATTTACATAATACTTTAACTATCATATATATTGCAATTTTGTCAATGGATCCAATAATGTCCTTTATAGCATTTTCCCCACAGTACAGGATTTAGTCTACTATCAGATATTACAATTAGTTTTCATATTTCTTTAGTTTCCTTTAGTGTCTCTTTCATGAGACTGGCATTTCTGAAGAACAGAGTTCTTTTTTGAGGGAACACTCCTCGTGTTCTAGAATATGTATAGAATGTTGCTGACATTTTCCTGTGATTAGATTCAGATTATGTACTGTAGTCAGTTTTTACATTTCACATCTTTTACTTGAATCAAAAAAAAAAACCCCAAAACCCACAGCAGAACCTATTATTCTATATATTATTCCAATAAATAATCTTCCAAGTAAGCATCAGAGGCATCTTCAACTTTGTATCTGCACTTACACTAAAATTATCTTCTAAGCCATAACCAGTTACACTGACACACACAGCTACAACCGTTTATTTCCAACAAGAGAGAACAATCCTATGACCTACATGGGAACATACTTTGTGACTTTTCCTGTGAGAAGCAAGAGTAGATTGATGTAGGAGTCACTCAGTCTGGTGTCTCCAATGCAGAAGGCAGCAGAGAATAGTTTAGCAGGGTTAAGTAACTTGTTCACAGTCACAAAGAAAGAAGAAACAAAACAGGGTTTGGGATGTGCTCTTAAATACTATACAAACCACAGATAACTCTGAACTAATCAGCATACAAAGGATTATTTTCTACTAAATCTGTCCTTAAGGGGGAAAAAAAAAAAGCTTCGAAGCAAATAATGAGACTCTTGCTGCTTTGACTAGGTCTCTGGAGAAAAGAAGCCAGTGAGAATTAAACCCCCTGACATAGAACGATCTGTTTGGGGAAAAACTCACCAAATTTGGCCTATAGACTAAATCTGGGGACAGGAGGTATTCTGGGCTTTGACCACAGTCTAGGGCTACAAAGCCATCCAGATCTCCTGATCAGGAGATTCCCAGACACCCAGTCCAACTGCACTGACTCTCAGGACAGAATGAGGGGTGGCTAAGCCATGCTGCTCCAGAGGATCTACTGAGACCAATCCTGCCTGGACCCTCATCCATCCAAAGGAAGTATTCCCTAGAGCCATGAGAGTTCTGCCCTGGGATCAAGAATAGAAGAATGGGATGGGAGCAGGTGACTAAAGCCCATTCCAATCTCTTCCTTCTTTATTCTACATTCCTAATAAATAGAACTCTTTACCTTATTTTTTAAAAAAACCAAAAAACCCCGTAACGTTCAGAGTAAAAATCAAGCCCTGAGAGTGGCCCACTGGGTTCCACATTCTTTCACAACCTATCGGCTTTCTGACTCCATCTATACTCCATCCTTCATTCCCTCCAATCTGAGTCACACTGAACTCCCTCCTGATGCCTTGCACTGGCTGGTTCCGATGTCTGGAACACCCTTCTCCCAGATATACTACTCATATATTCCAAGAACCCAGAACTGGACCTAACATATAATAGTTAATAAATACTTTTGCATGAATAAGTGATAGGAACAGAGTTAATTAAAAAAGAACTTAAAAGGTTAGGCAGAAGACTGACACGTTCTCAATACTGTCAGAATCAAAGGCTCCTTTTCATAGTCTATGTCTTGTAACATCTCATTTACTGTCTTGCAATGAGATTCATATTTAATAAAATGTCCCCATACACAGAATTTTTTAAAAAGAATGTAATGCCCTAACCAAAATATAAAAGAGAAATAAAAGCAAGTAATTTACAATAAAAAATTATGTATTTCAATATGAATTTCACAGGACTACATTAGGAGACATAATGAAGCAATGAGATGCTTACAGCTACAGGCAGATCACTGTGGACATGACAGTTACAAATGCAGACAGACATGGATGTGCCTTACTGATGACATGTGTATACTATATTGGTGACAGACATAGGTGTGCTGTATGGGTGGTAACTCAAACACTACAACCAGCAATGCCATTGGTCATGTGATGTTTTCATTTTTCTTTTTCCAGTCATGCTGCACAGCTTGCAGGATCTTAGTTCCCTGACCAGGGATTGAACACGGGCCACGGCAGTAAAAGCGCCGAGCCCTAACCAATGGACCACCAGGGAATTCCTATGTTCTTCATGCTGATGAACACTTCTGTTTTTTTTTTCTGCAAATGGCATTTTATCTATCTATCTATCTATCTATTTATCTAGATATCTATCTACATATTTATGGCTGCGTTGGGTCTTCACTGCTCCACATGGGCTTTCTCTACTTGTGGTGAGCGGGCTCTAGGCATGTGGGCACCAGTAGTTGTGGCATGCAGGCTCAGCAGTTGTGGCTTGTAGGCTCTAGAGCGCAGGCTTAGTAGTTGTGGCACACAGGCTTAGTTGCTCCGCAGCATGTGGGATCTTCCCAGCCCAGGGATTGAACCTGTGTCCCCTGCATTGGCAGGCGGATTCTTAACCACTGCGCCACCAGGGAAGTCCCTGGTGAATACTTCTTGATAAAGTTCAAAACTATTCTCCCTTGATTTACAACCTACTGTGTAAAAATTACTTTAGAATATTATCTAAAATAGATTTATATTCTAGATTCAGAGCATTACAGACAGATCCACGGCCTTGAGAGAAAAACCAGAAGAGGGAGGAAGAACTGATACAGATTTAAGGAACATTTTTAAAAAATGGAATGTGTGGATCTTGTCTGGATCCTGATTCAAATTCTCAAAAAGACTTTTTTGAGATGATCAGGTAAATTTGAACACAGACCAAGTGTCAGATGATACTGAAGCCCCACAGATAATGTGGTTACGTATGAAAAAAAAAAAAGTCCTTATTTCTTAGTTACATTGTGATATATTTAGGAGTGGTATGTCACATTATTTGGGATTTGTTTTAAGTAATACATCAATAAAAGAAAAATATAGAGAGAAAAGGAAGGATGAATCAAGTGCAGCAAAACAGTTTAAAGTCTGAAATGGACCCAACAGGATCCAAAGTTTCCATGTAAAGATTAATTTACTTTGAGATAATTTTAATATAGTTCTCAGAATCAATGAAATGCATGAGCGCAGAGACACAGAAGAAGACCACCAGACGAAACCAGGTAAAAACAAGACCAAATTAGTTTGGCCAGCTGAAAGCAAATTTAAATGGGTGAATCTTCACTGAGGCAGATGGAGAAACTAGGTCAGAAGCCAACTGGAGTGAAATGGGGCCAATTCAAACCGAGGAAAACAGTACATAACAGATCCAAGCAGACAAAAATAAATCAGAATTAATTAATTCATAGCTATGCCAAATAGAGAAAATTCTTGAAAAAGCTTCTGACAGAAATTTATGTGCAACTCTGAAAACAGGACTCTTAAGAATGCAGGAATATCCAGAATAATTTTGTATTTACCATCCTAGACAAGTAATCTGTTTCAGGTTTTAGATAAATGAAGAAAAATATGATTATAATATCAAATAACCTATAAAACACAAAACGGACAGATTTAATTACACTATAAGCTTTTTTAACTTCTAGGACACAGAGAGGCCTCTCCTATTACCTTCCTCTCCTCCTTGCTCTCTGTGCTCTGATCACGCCGGCCTCCTTCCTTTCCTATCTCGGGGTCTCAGCACTGGTTGTTCCCCGGCACAGAAGAGTCTCCCACTACATCCACATATCTAACTTCCTTACCTCCTTCAAGCCTTTACTCACACCCATCTCCTCACAGAGGCCTACCGTGATCACCCACCCCTGCCTCTACACCCCGGCACCCTGGATCCCCCTTATTCTGCTCTACTTATATTTGTATATATTACACATATTTTAAAACTATGTAGAGCTTATTATCCTCTAACATACATAATTTACTTATATATGCTATTTATTGTATATGTCAGTGTCACTATACTAGAATGACCAAAAAAATGCTTTATTGTTTTATTCAGAGATGTGTTCTAAGAGCTTAGAACATTGGCTGGCTATATGGTCAATAAATATATGAATGGAAAATTTAAGGAAGAGAACATATCCTCACCCAACAAGACTAGATTCCTGAAATTCTCCAGCATCACTTCTTTGTATAGGTTCCTCTGCTCAAGGCTCAATCTCTTCCACTCTGCCTCAGTGAAAATCACAACCACATCCTCGAATTTCACTGGTCCCTAAATCAACCAACAAATTCATACTCATCAAGTCACCATCAATTTTCACATGGAGAATGGAACTGGCTGTCCTGAAGAATCTCGCTACATAAGTAACGGATCTGAGGGTTTGCAGAGCTGGGCATTACTCCACACTTGGTTTGGTGTTATAACATGCAGAAAGCAGGACTAATCTATAAGACACACTCCTTGCCCTAAAACGCTTACATTTTAATTGGGAAAATTATTTTTGAATCAATGAGAAAACATTAAAGCAGAGTTCAGGAGTATGAATGTGACAACTTATAATAGATGAAATTCGAATGGAGGGTAGAAGACAAGCTATAGAAGTAAGGAAAGGCAGCACAGAGGCAGGGTACTGGGCATTAAGAAATGATGAAGATTAGAGAAAAAATAAGAGGCAACTCGGACTGTAGAGAAAAATGTGAGTGCCTCATGCCAGGTCTAGAATGAGTATTTGTTAACTCTGATTAAAATATATTTCTCTGAACAAAAGGAGATAGTGCTGAGGCACGCCAAGCTTTATCAAAGGATTCAAACTGTATTCCTTCAGCCTGCTGGTTAACTGCCAAATTATCGGCCACTCTGAAGGCTTGCGCCTAAGAGCATTCATCAGGAGTGGACAGTTGCTGCCTGAACCAGTCATGTGTTTGGGTTCTGAGAGGTGCCTCTATGTGTGGGGTCTGGGTGAGATGGGGAGCGCAGGCAAGGAGGCAAGGTGGGGCACTGTAGTGAACCAGCCTGGTCAAGACCTACTATGGGACTTCCCTGGTGGTGCAGTGGTTAAGAATCCACCTGCCAATGCAGGGGATATGGGTTTGAGCCCTGGTCTGCGAAGATCCCACATGCCGTGGAGCAACTAAGCCCTTGCACCACAACAACTGAGCCTGTGCTCTAGAGCCGGTGAGCCACAACTACCGAGCCCGCATGCTGCAACTACTGAAGTCCTCGCGCCTAGAGCCCGTGCTCCGCAACAAGAGAAGCCCACGCACCGCAACAAAGAGTAGCCCCCACTCACCGCAGCTAGAGAAAGCCCACGGGCAGCAACGAAGACACAACGCAGCCAAAAGTAAATAAATAAATAAATGTATTTAAAAAAAAAAAGACTTAACTACGTACTGAACATCTGGCCAGCTTAATAAAGGTCACTGGGTGCGTGCGTGCGCACACGCACACACACACACACACTCACACACACTCACACACAGATTTCTCTGCTTGAGAAAAGCAATTTATAAGATCCCTATCACTGTATATATTTTGACATTACCTTTTGTAAAGCCCTCCAACCTCTTAATATGTAGGGCAATATTTGAACATATAAAATGGTTGGCAGGGAGGATGGCAAGTAGTGGTTCCTGAGAATGGCATTTCCAGTTAAATGAAGTTTAACCTTAATCTATGGAAAAATTTTTAAGGAACATATTTACATTTTATGAAACTACATCGCAAGATCATCACTGTAAGAATGATATTACAGTCTTTATTTCAGAGAAAGAACACTGAGGCCCAGAGAACTTCCCCAAATGACAAGAAAACAACAGGACTGGGAAACAGTCCTTCACGGTTCCAGAGCCCTTATTCCCTTCACTGTAAGCTGCTTTTTCTTCCGTCATGCACCAGTTTTCTCTCACCTCTTTATTTCTTCCAAGTCTCAGAAACCTTGCTTCAACTTTTTGCATACTAGAACCATACCACATGCTTTCTCATCAGGTCTCTTCTTATTAGAATAGGTATATTCAGGGACATTTTCTCTCTTTAGTTATGCCTAAAAGGTGGTGTTGCCCTCAAGTCTCATGGTGGTCACCAAATTACTTACTTCTATTGAATTTAAGCATTATTTAATCCATTACCATCTGCTGCAACCTCTGGGTTGTCTGTGTCACTACTGCCTTGCCCTAGATTTTTAACTATCAAGCTCCTTCAGTCTGTGGAATTGAGGGACATGTGTACATCATTCTCAGCTATCTTTGATCACCCTGAATGCCTATTTTCTGACTTGCTTCCTCCTATTCTCAGGTCTATTTCAGTCTTCTATCTAGCCCACCTTCTAAGTGGTTTTTCACACCCTAGGAGTTGGTGATGTATACTCCAGGTTCTACAACTAAACTAATTAAGTTTCTGTCACATCAAAGACCACAGTTGGGGGGCTGAGGTGGTGGACTGAGCCACAAGGTTACCAAGCCAGAGCTTCTAGGCAGTCTTGCTTCAGAGCTAGATTCTAAAATAGATTTAAAATCCAATACACAGAAGTGGCAAAAGGAGTAAAGAATAATAATGATGCTGAATTGAGAGTGGGAAACTAGGTACAAATACAGAAATCACTGGGTGTGTGGGTTTGGGGAGAGATGTCAAATACACACCCTGACAGCCCAGGCAATCAGGCTTTGTATAGTGTAGGAGGGAAGACATATTTCTAGACAACAAGCTGGGACCCACAATTAGGCAGCCAAGACCTATGGGGGGAATGGCGTGGGGGCCCTCTCAAGCTTTCCATGACCAGCTTCTTCTGGCATATTCTGGTCCTCATATTCTTAATAATCTTTCCCCTATTCTTCTTACATCAGGTCTCACACTTTCTCTTGCTCACACCTTGTGTCTTTCATGTTCCAGCAACTTTTCCATTTCTTTCTTGCTTTCTCTTCCCCCTCTACTTCCCTCACTTAAGCATAAGACTGGCTCAGCTAGAAGGAAAGCCAGGATTTTTGCACAATGGATGTGTTAAGAACCCAACCTGCAGAACCAAATGCCACAAATCCAAATCCCAGCTCCATTACTTTATAAAATATGTAACCTTGGGTAACTTACATAAGCTCTCTGTCTTAGTTTCTACATCTATAAAATGGGTTTGATAATGACATCTACTTTCAGGGTTGTTGGATTAAATGAATTAATAAGTGCTTAGATCAATGCCTGACATGAAGTAAATATTTGTTATTACTATTTATTATAATTAAGCAATATAATGTTTTATATTTAAGTGAGAACTGACTTTAAAGATAAATAATTTTTGGTTCTCAAAAAGTAATCAAACACTCCAGCCAAGGCAATAAGGCAAGAAAAGGAAATAAGAGCATAGACATTTGGTAAGGAAGAAACAGAACTGTCCCTATTTGCAGATAACATGGTTGTCTATGTAGAAAATCCAAAATAATCTACAAAATAGATCACAGAATTAATAAATGAGTCCATGAGGGCCACAAGATACAAGAAGACCACAGAAAAGTCAATCACATTCCTATATACTAGCAATGACCACATGGAAACAAATTAAAAACATAATGCCATTTGCAATCATTTCAAGAAAATGAGATAGCTAAAACATAAATCCAGTAAAATTTGTACAGAGTCTTTATGGTGATGAAAGAAAGCAAAGATCTAACTAAATGGAGAGACACACCATGTTCATGGCTTGCAAGACTTGACACAGTGAAGATGTCAATTCTCCCCAAAATCATCTATAGATTTAAAACAATTCCTATCAAAATCTCGAGATATTTTGTAGATACAGACAAGCTTATTCTCCAGTTTATATGATAAGGCAAAGGAAGCAGAAGAACAAAGTGAGAGAGTCACTATACCTGATATTAAAATTATTACTTACTATTTGGTCACTACAATAACCAAAACAGCATAATATTGGTGGAAGAATAGACACAAATCAATGAAAGAGTACTGAGAACCCAGAAAGAAGCCAACATGAGTACATCAAATTGATTTTTGATGAAGGTGCAAAAGCAATTCAATAGAGGAAGAAGAGTCGTTTCAAAAAATTGTGCTGGAACAACTGGACATCCACGGGTAAAAAAATTAACATCAACCTAAAACCTCATACTTTATACAAAAAATTATTCAAAATGGATATTAGATTTAAATGTAAAACTATAAAACTTTTAGAAGAAAATATAAGAGAACACCTTCAAGACCTAGGGCTAGGCAGAGTTCTTAGTCATGACACCAAAACCATGATCCATAAAGAAAAAATAAATAAACTGGACTGCATCAAAATTAAAACTTTTGTACCACAAAAGACTTCCACACCTCTTCCAGAAAACAGAAGCAGGGGGAGCCCTTCCTAACTCATCTATGAGGCCAGCATTACCCTAATACCAGAAAAGACATTAGAATACCCCAAACCAGACAAAGACATTAGAAAGGAAAACCACAGATCAGTATATCTAATGAATACAGACACAAAAACCCCCAACAAAATACAAGCAAATCAAACCCAAAAATGTATAAGAAGAACTATACACCATAACCAGGGGGGACTTACTATAGGTTTGCAGAGCTGGTTCAACACTTGAAAAGCAATCAATGTAATTCACCTTAAAAACAGGCTAAAGAAACAAAATCAGGGACTTACCTGGCGGTCCAGCAGTTAAGACTCTGCGCTTCCACTGCAGGAGGCACGGGTTCGATCCCTGGTCAAGGAACTAAGATCCCACATGCTGTGTGGTGCAGCCAAAGGAAAAAAAAAACAGGAGGGTTTAGCTGGTGAAGCAAGGATTTTTTTAGAGGGGTGAAACTATTCTGCATAATACTGTAATGGTGGATACGTGGCACTATGCACTTATCAAAACCCCAGAACCTTACAGCACAAAGTATAAACCTTAATGTGTGTAAATTTTAAAAATTCATTTAGGAGGTCAGGGGATCCCAGGATGGAATGAAGAATGTGAAAAAAATGTATTACAAATATATGAAATAACCTCCCTAAAGGTGGTGGAGAAAAAAGGAGCTAATCTAAGTAGTTTACTTTGGAAATGAGTGGCATCTGTAGACAAAAGGAACTATATATAAATAAGTACTATATGCTAATTGATAAAGTTGTTTCCACAGGGGCACAGGTAAACAATTCTGAAGTCACTATACTTATAAACTGGAATTGAAAAATTAAGTGAATGGATGGTGAATAGTGGAAGTCAGGTTTCTCACTGTTGGTGGGAGGTTATAAATAAGCAAGGTGAGGAGGCTAGAATGACCCATGTGGTAATGGATTTGAGCTGGAGGCATCAGAACAAACTCATCTTTAGCTTAATATAATTACATAAAGAAATATTTATAAACGAGTATATACAGAGATTAGTATACACAACCACATTTCTTTTCTCTGTCAGCTGAGAGGGCCTGGAAGCAATGACACTCCAGTAGCAAAGGGCACACCTAGCATACAGATCTTGGTTTCTAATATCATTCTCCAATGAAAGGAGCAACGGCTGATCTGAGGACTGGAGCAGGACATAAACAAAATGAGCCTGGAGCATACTGTAGAGCCAGAAAGTAAGGAAGTACTTAAAAAAGGCAAAAAAACACAATAATGGGAGCATGTCAAAGGGACACAAGAACCAACTAAAGAGCTCCTGAAACAATATGAGCAACAAAATAAAGTGATACTGGGTTATAACCCAAAGTATAAAATACATAACCATGACTCATACTGATATAAATAAATGAATAAATCAAATAAATAAATAAATGGAGGAGAATACACAAATTTCCCATGCAGAACAATTCCAAACAATTTATGTAGTTACTCGACCCTCAAAGAGGTGGACTGTACCCACGCTTCAAGTGGGCTCTGCATAGTGACTTCTTTCCAGAGTATAAGTTATGGGGAAGGCAGGGTAGTAACTTTACAGTGTAGAAACCTGACAACCCTCCTTCTGCCAAATGATCAAGGTTAACATTAACAGTGGTAAGTAATGCTGATACTATCTACCATTGGCATGATGTGATAAGAAGAGTATTTCACCTCTGTGGTGTTCCTCCCAGAAAACTGTATCTCAGTCTAATCAGAAAAAACATCAAGTCTCACCCATACCTGATTTCAACGATAAATAGATGAGAATTTGGACTTGGAGTATGCTGGAATGGGTTAAAACTTTTGGGGCTGTTGGCTTGGGGTAAATGTATTTTGCATGCTAGAAGGATGTGAATGGCGGGGGGGGACGAGGACGGAATGTTATGGACTGAACTGCATCCCCCCAAAATTCATAGGTTGAAGTCTAACCCTCAATGTGACTCATTTGAAGACACAGCCTTTCGGGAGATAGTTAAAGTTAAATTAGGTCATAAAGTTATGGTGTCCTTATAAACAGAGGAAGAGACGCCAGGAATGTGCATGTGAACAGAGGAAAGGCCATGTGAGGACACACAGTGAGAAGGCAGCCATCTGCAAGCCAGGAAGAAAGTTCTCACTAGAAACCAACCCTGCTGGCACCTTAATCTTGGACTTCCAGCCTCCAAAACTATGAGAAAATAAATGTCTGTTGTTTAAGTCACCCAATCTGTGATATTGAGGTATGACAGCTGAAAAATACTAAAACAGTATCTCTTACTCAAAGTGACGCCTAAAAAAATGAGGATTTGTACCCACTTTCTCCGGTTACAGGAACGCTGGATGTTTATTTTTGTAATAATAAATGTCCCAAATGTAAAAAAAAAAAAAAAAATTGGACAAATCCCAATTAAGGGACAATCTATAAAATACCTGACCTAAACACCTCCTTGCAGACATGACAACCAATGTAGTACGACAGCCTGAATGGGATATTGGAACAGAAAGAGGACATTAGGTAAAAACTAAGGAAATCTGAATAAAGTATGGACTTAGTTAATAATAACATAAAAATTGGTTTATTAATTGTGACAAGAATACCATACTAATGTAAGATGTTAATAACAGGGAAAACTAGATGTGGGATATATGGGAATTCTTTTTATATACTGTCCTTGCAATTTTTCTGTAAATCTGAAACTATTTTAAAAAACCTTAAAAAATAGTATCATTCCAATACACTAACATCAAAACAAAACATGAAATACTGAGAGATAAATTTAACAAAATATGTGCTGGACATGTACATCAAAAACTAAGATTCCTAAGACAAAGATCTGTATAAGTGAAGATATACTGTGTTGATGGACCAGAAGACTCAATAATGTTAAGATGTTAGTTCTCCCCCATACTGATGTAAAAATGCAAAGCCATTCTAATCAAAATCTCATTGCAGGGCTTCCCTGGTGGCGCGGTGGTTAAGAATCCGCCTGCCAATGCAGGGCACACGGGTTTGAGCCCTGGTCTGGGAAGATCCACATGCCGCGGAGCAACTAAGCCTTTGCACCACAACTACTGAGCCTGTGCTCTAGAGCCTGCAAGCCACAACTACTGAAGCCCGCGTGCCTAGAGCCCGTGCTCCGCGACAAGGGAAGCCACCGCAATGAGAAGCCTGCACACCGCAACAAAGAGTAGCCCCTACTCGTCGCAATTACAGAAAGCCCGCGCACAGCAACCAAGACCCAACGCAGCCAAAAATAAATAAATAAATTTATATTAAAAAATAATCTCATTGGGGGCTTCCCCAGTGGCACAGTGGTTGGGAATCTGCCTGCCAATGCAGGGGACGCAGGTTCGTGCCCCGGTCCGGGAGGATCCCACATGCCGCGAAGCAGCTGGGCCCATGAGCCATGGCCGCTGGGCCTGCGCGTCCAGAGCCTGTGCTCGGCAGCAGGAGAGGCCACAACAGTGAGAGGCCCGCGTACCACCACAAAAAAAAAAAAAATAATAATAATAATAATAATCTCACTGTAGAAACTGATAAGCTGATTCTAATATTTAAATGAAAATGCAAAGGACCTAGATTATACAAAGCAATCTCAATAAAGTCTTGGGGAGGTAGTAGAAATAAGGCAGTTACTTCCCTGTTAGAAAGGGATTTGCTCCCAAGTCACTCTCATCTCTGACAATCAAGGTTGGTATCTGTGGTCCTAGGGCCTGGAAACTGACTATCGCTAATGCAAAATTCCCTGAGGAAAATACCAGTGATGTAGCTGCTATGTTTTCTGTCCTGTATCCTTTCACGAAGCTACCTAGATTTAATGCAGAGTTAAAATGCATTGTGTACCATTAGATTGTCAATCCAAAACCTAAGACCATTCTTTGTGGCTGTGCATTGTTTTAACAGCTACAGGCGAACACTTGGTCATGTCTTTCCCTGAACTATTTTGTTTTAACTGTCTTCATCATAATTACCAGGTGTCATTATTTCCTATTTCTATGCATTATTTCCCAAAGACTACTGGCTCTTTGAGAATAAGGACAGTGTACTTACATTCTGTTTGGCTAGTTCACAGAATTTTACACAGTCCTGCAGCCAAGAATTAGTAAATTACACTTTTGGTGTAGAAAAGAAGATGGGATCAGGGGAGCAAGGGTGGGATGAAGCATCAGAACAAGAAGGTGAATTCTCCATGTTCTTTTATCATTGAATAGTTTTCTAGGACGAAAAAAAGTCAACAAGGCCTCACAGAAAACTCATGGCTTTGAGAGTCAGAGCAATCTGAGTTCAATTTACGTGTTCATGTGTGATTATAAGAAAGTCACGAAATCCCTCTGAACCAGACGTCTCCCAAAGGGGGACTCTCTTTACCTCATAAAGTTGTTTTAAGGATAAACACAGGACTGAAATTATGGATGAAACAGTATCATGTCTTAAATTTGCTTTAAAATAATTCAGTAAGGTTGGAGATGAAACAAAACTAGCCATGAGGGCTTCCCTGGTGGCACAGTGGTTGAGGGTCTGCCTGCCCATGCAGGGGACACGGGTTTGTGACCCGGTCTGGGAGGATCCTGCGTGCCACGGAGCGGCTAGGCCTGTAAGCCATGGCCGCTGAGCCTGCGCGTCCGGAGCCTGTGCTCCGCAACGGGAGAGGCCGCAGTGGTGGGAGGCCCGCGTACCACACACACACAAATTAATTAATTAAAAAAAATAAAACTGGCCATGAGTTGATAGTTACTGAAGTAAGTCGATGGATACACGAGGGTTCATTAACTCTTTTCTTCTACTTTTAGATATGCTTGAAAATTTCAGTAATAGTTAAAAAGAATTCCAGTGTATAAGACCAGGCTATGAGATACTATTAAGGTAATATAATTATTTGTGTGAACTCTGATGAAGGGAACTTTAATAGTGCATTTTAGGACGTTAATAACCCCACGTTTTTATTAAAAGTTACCCTTGTTTTAGAATGCCCTAAATTCTTCATATTAAACTTAGTTATGTTTTTTTATAAGCTCAGAAAGTTAAAAAAAACTAAATGCAGAAATCATTATAAAGTGCCTACCACAACGGCAAACACAGGCATGAATGCTGATCTGACGAACGTTGATGGCCACCTCAGTGTTCATCTCTGCCTCCCTCCCCAAGAAAGAGAGATGCGCTGAATCTCTGAGAAATAAACTAGCATTTCAGAGAAGAGAAAGGTGGCCCCAACTCACCAGATATCTAGGCTTCTCCTCTTTACCAAGTCTGGCAGAGTCCTTAAAAGACAGAACTGGGGAAAGAAACAGCAGCCTTGAGAACCCAGGCCTATCAGGATTATTCCTGAGAACCCTTCTGGGTCTCAGCTGTGGCCACTTGTGCCTTCTCACCTGAACCAGAAGTCTCAGCCCCTCCTTACCCCATCCAGGACCTCAGCTCCTCTCACCTCTCACCTTAACGCTTCAGTTAACCTCTACGGTCTACACCCCTTCCTTGTTTACTTATGTTTTTAAAGAAATACTGATCTTAATTAAATATAATAAGGTAAATTCTAAGTACCCATCATCTTTCCACCCTAAAAATCAGCAAAACTGTTCCGACAAGGCGTAGTTTTTTTCCCCATACTTGTTACATGGCTCCAGTTACCCCCACCAGAAAAAAATTTATGAAAATATTAAACACAGAAATATAAATGTGATTTAAGAAAAATGAATTTTTAAAATTTCAATGTTTTTCCTTACTTTATATACAAGAGCACTAGTAAAGAGTAGAAGGTATTAAAGACCACTACAACAGCATTTCTAAAATGCAGCTTGCCTTACTCCCCTTAAAAACAAATTACCTTGGTGGCGCAGTGGTTAAGAATCCACCTGCCAATGCAGGGGACACAGGTTCAAGCTCTGGTCCGGGAAGATCCCACATGCCATGGAGCAACTAAGCCTGTGCGCCACAACTACTGAGCCTGTGCTCTAGAGCCCGCGAGCCACAACTACTGACCCTGTGTGCCACAACTACTGAGCCTGCGTGCCACAACTACTGAAGCCCACATGCCTAGAGCCTGTGCTCTGCAGCAAGAAAAGCCACTGCAATGAGAAGCCCGTGCACCGCTATGAAGAGTAGCCCCTGCTCGCTGAAGAGTAGCCCCCACTTGCCACAACTAGAGAAAGCCTGCAGACAGCAACAAAGACCCAATGCAGCCAAAAATAAATAATTTATTTATTAAAAAAAACAAAAAAAAACAAATTACCATGGAATTTTAAAAGGCAAGACTTTAACATCTTGGGTGCCTGAAACTAACACAACATTGTAAACCAACTATACTCAAAGAAAAAAGAAAAAAAAAAAACACACCACCACACACACACACACAAAACCATCTTGGGTGGAAACTTAAGCTTTCCCTGCCATCTCTTCAATGAGAGGAAATAAAAAGAACATGTTTCTGATCCCTGCGGAAGGCATCACTAAAGGAGGGTCTAAGCAGTAGCCCTAAGCTTCCTCCTTGACACCCCTCACATCAGTGAGAAAGAGAGGGAGATACTGATAAGGCATACCTGTCTACAAGATATATGGAAGCTTATAATTTGACCCACTCCTTCTTGGGCTCCTCAGAGGGTTACAGTGTGGTTAGTTGGAGGGATTTAGCCAAGGGTGGCCTTGTCCTCGGTATTGGAAAAAAAAAAAAAAAGGTCCTCAAAGTGATGATGACATCGCTCTGTTGAAATAATCACCATCTGGGGAAACACTCTAAATGGACCCCAACAGCAACCCTGGCTTCTGTACTAAGCTAAGGAGAATGTGTCAGATGATTCAAGAAAGACATTTACACAATACAGCCTTAGAAAACCATCATTCTGTCCTGTAAAATGTCCCAAATCTACACATTCATCCAGAACTGCACATCCCTGTGAAAAATGAAGCAGTTTAAAATTAAAAAATAAAATTATAGTGTTGTTTGATAAGGATCTTGGGCAATTTGTCAAGTCACAACCATAGTTAGCACTGTGGTTTGAGTGACTTAGCTACTGTTTTTCTGACATGGCCTTCCTATAAGCAACCAGGTTCCTGAAGATAAATGCAAGAGAGGAAAAAAAAAATCCAGTAATCTTACTATTGCAAGTTCTAAAGTTTTAGAAGAAAAAAATGTGTACCACATTTGACCACTCCCAGTGGCTAGATCTGAGCAGCACACAAGGAGGTGGCTCCTCAGTCTGCTCAGAGCCTCCCCCTGCCAGAGACAGGGTGGCTCTGATCCCACTAAGCAGGTGGGAAAACTGAGGTACACAGAGTAGCCTCACACAGCTGAGTTGAGCCTCACACAGTTGAGGATCCCTCAACTGACTCTTAGGTGTCATCCTCTCTCCCCATCATGAGACCACTGAGCGGCAAGAGGTGTTGGATGACAGGCACAGTCCAGGACTTCACCAGCAGGTGCCTCTGTCCATGTTGGACACTCTGCACAGCATTCAAGGAAGTCAAAGATCCTTTCTAGCTCAGTGTACTACAAAATATCTTTGCCATTCGTGACAACAGGGAAAATCATTCTCCTTTTAAAGTTCAACTTAGTGGTTACTGTCTCTACTTTCTTCAGTTTTACTGTCCTTCAATTGAACTGGACCTGGCACATTGGGCAGAGGTAGAGCCCATCCTCAAAGAGTGGACAGAAGGAGACAGAGATGCCCCTACCACAGGACAAAGAGCTGAGTGCTGGACCAGGGGTTGGCAAACTATGCACAGAACAAATCTGGTCTACTGCCTGTTTTTATACCACTCATGAGCTAAGAAGAGTGTTTATATTTTTAAATGGTTGAAAATGTAAAAAACAGAATATTATCACATGGCACATGAAAATCATATGTAATTCAAATTTCAAGGTCCACAAATAAAGTTTTATTGGAACATAGCAATGTCCATTCATTTATCTATTTGGCTGCTTTTATACAACAGCAGAGTTGAGTAGTTGCTACAGAAACCATGAAGCCCACAAGGCCTAAAATATTTATCATCTGGCCCTTTACATAAAAAGTTTGCCAAGCCCTATTCTAGACTGCACTTGTTTGTTTGTTATATCCAAAGTTATTTGCTTTGGACTCTGGTCTTCTCCCCTGAGGTCTCTGCCATTATTGTAGCAATTTGACTTTTGGCATTCAGATGGCAGGCAGTTGTCAGAAATGGCAGCTGTGTGTCTTCAGGTCCTGTTTTCCTTTTTTTTGATTCCATGTTTCACTGCCTGCACAACCCACCTTCAGTTTACCAGCTAGTCAGTTGTTGGTTTGGAGGCCAATCAGCTTGAAGCCCCTATGGGCCCATTCCAACATGGACTCTGGCTGATCTCCAGCTCTTCAGGACTGCTGAGAAGGGCCTGCCAATTCATACCCTGGTTTTCTCCAAGGCCTGGTACATGGCCTTCCTATAAGCAACCAGGTTCCTGAAGGTGGCCAGGTTAAAGTACTGGCTGAGCAGTCTCAGGGCCACCTGCTTGCTCAGAGACACCTCAGAGAACTCGCCATCACCAAAACACTGGACCCATCTCAGGCCAGAAATGACCTGGTGCTTGAAGGCAGCCTTCCAGAACACCACCATGACAAGCCACCAGGGAAAACCCTTGCATTTTCCCAGATGAAGACCTGTCCTGATCCCTCACTGCCCTTAAGTCTCTGTCCTCTGCAACTTCCTTCAGGGTCTCTAAGCTCTCCTATGGGATATCCTGGGCACAGGGAATTGCTTCTTTGGGGTGCCACACCTTCCATTAGGTCTGGGGTATGGTAGGGGCTAGCAGGGGACTACCATACCAGCCCTGCCCTAGGTACTGCCATTGCCTCAGGGACTTGGTAGTTGAAGACTTGACAGGAAAGACATCCACAGGACTCATATCTGCCAGACTTGAGCGGGGCACTGGGGAGGAACTATGCCTCTCCCAGTTGGAGACACAGTCACTATTTCAGGTTTGACAGCTAGGCTTTCAGATGAAATCCTGGTTCCACAAAAGAGTTTTGGCATCACTGGAGTGTCAGAGCCAATCCCATCTTCCCCTTCAATACCTCAGTGCCCATCCGCTCCTGACTATAACTTAAGAGGTCTAGACATCTCCCTCTTAGACAGTCATGAACTTGATCTGCAGCTGCCACTGGTCTCTGGGGTGCCAGTGGTCTCTAGGACTGGGGCAAGGGAGCATCTTTGGCAATGGAGTACCGGTTGCTATAGGCCCTATGGGTGATGAGGAACTCTTTTCTTCCCACTGGTATTCTCCCCTCTGCTGAACTGTGTAGTGTCTCCTTTCATCGACTCCTTAAGTCCAGGGGTTCAACTCTGGCCACTTTGAAAGAGTAAAGGTTGGCCCTGCTGAGAACTTGGCTCAAGCACAGCTTCCCAGCCAGGTGCTAGGCATTCAATGCCTTGGCTTCCAAACTTCTCTGGCACTGATACCAAAATTACATTTACTTGGATTCCTGTATCAGGGGTCCCCAAGATCACCCCCCCATTCACTCACTAGAAGGACTCTAAGGATTCAACACAGTTGTAGTCACAGTTAGGGTTTATAACAGCAAAAAGATATGCAACAGGATCAGCAAGGGAAAATGACACAGGCAGAGTCTGGAGAAATCCATGCACATGTTTCCTCATGCTCTCTCCCTCCCATAAGGGGACAAAGTGAGTTTCCAACAGTGAAAAATTCAGTAACATATGTGCAGTGTTTCTACTCAGGGAAGGCCACTAAAGCCTCAGGTGCCCAAGGTTTTTATTGGGGGTAAGTCATGTAGGCACCCTCTGCTGAGAAGCTATAAAAATTCCAGACTCCCAGAAGGAAAGCAGGTGTCAAAGTACAGTGAACTATACCTGTTAGTTAGGGAATAGGTCAAGTGCCAAGTTCCCAGATGCCAGCAAAGGGCCAACCTTGCAAGCAGGCCTCCTAAATATAGCAGCCTCAATCCTATACTATTAAATCTTTCCACACATTCTCTTAACCCTTGTACCACCTGCTGGACACAGCTCACTGACTCACCTGTTAGTCTATCAAGGGAAGCTCTGAGCATCCACCACACAGGCTGTAGCTATGTAGCCCACAGGCTGCTGCTTTGGCTACAAGGAAGTATCACAGGCCTGATCAGGGAGGGGGAACCACCTCCTCCAGCTCCGCTTCCACAAGCACCACCCCCTGACCCCGTGGAAAATCACAAATGGGAATAACATACCTTAATGGGGGATCCCCAAAGTCCCCAAAACTTGAGACCCTCAGCCCCACAATATCCATACCTGCCTTGGTGTGAGTGCCAGAGACGGAAAGGCCCCTACTGGAGCCACACAGCAGCCAGAGGCTCCCCTCCATCAGCAGCGCCCAGCTACAAAGCCACCTGAGCACTGCGGCTCCCGCCAGTTACCTCACTCAGGACCACTTGGCACAGCCCCCCTCCCTTCTTCCCATCACACTTTGGCCTTTGTCAGCCATCTTTAAGGAACAGGAGAGGAGGAGAGGGGAGGGGAAGAGATCAGGTCCTCAGCTAGCAGCCCAAGGTCTAGATTATCAGGTTGCTGCTAGCACCAAATAGCTCAGCCACTTTGGATAAGCCCCATGATTAGCATACTATTTCTTTTACGGCAGAGACTTCAACAACCCCCACTACTCCCAAGTCTCCAACTCTTCATGGAAGCGGCAGGTAATACCATGGCCATGACGGAACAGTACCTGGGCTTCTATTCTCAGACCCTGTGCAGGGCATGCAATGCCCAGCTTCTGGCTCTGCTGGTCTAGGTTCCAGCTGTAGTCAATTCCCTGTGCTCTAAGGAGTTTCTACAATACTGAGTTTTGTTTTGTTTTGTTTTGTTTTTTGTGGTACGCGGGCCTCTCACTGTTGTGGCCTCTCCCGTTGCGGAACACAGGCTCTGGACGCGCAGGCTCAGCGGCCATGGCTCACGGGCCTAGCCGCTCTGCGGCATGTGGGATCCTCCCAGACCGGGGCACGAACCCGTGTCCCCTGCATCGGCAGGTGGACTCTCAACCACTGCACCACCAGGGAAGCCCAATACTGAGTTTTGAACCAAGTCCCATCAGTTAGGTAGAACCGCAGGCCCTACAGTGTCTTCTGGGAAGCTGTCTATCTTCCATTTCAGTATCTGTAAGGCATATGACCCCATCAGAAGTTTGCATTATCTGTCTCACCACAAACCTGAGTCAAAGACCTCCAGCAACATGGCCCAGAGAAAGGCAAGCAGTGTTAGGGAACTGCTGTTATCGAACCTGAAGTGCTGCAGACTCCTTGACTAGAGTCTCAGTCCACTGCTGACTACTGTCCCTTTGTGACCACTCAGGTTCTCCTGCTCCAGTAAGCCTTGACTCATACTCCAATGTCACAGGCAGAGGTGTAACTCCCTCTTATGTCCAACCTGGGTCTCTTCTCAATCACACCACACTACATGTTTACATTTATGTTTCTCCATCTATCTCCCTTCTAGAATGTGAGTTTATTCAGGAGATCATAATAGGATATGCAGGTAGATGAAGAGTCATACCATGCTTCTGGACAAGGTGAATTAAACTGCAAGCCAATCAATTCCTTCCAAATTAAATAAACTCAATGCAACACCAGTCGGAATCACAACAGAGATTTTTTTACGGCTCTAGACAAGATAATTCTAAAATTCCTTTAAAGAAAATATATAAGAATAGTCAAGAAAATTATGAAAATAAAGACTAAGAAGACTTATCTTCTAAAATATGACAACACACTATCAAGCCATAGTAAATAAAAGTGCTTTAGCAGTAGTACAGCAATAGAATAATGAAACAGAATAGAAAGAAGGGGATGCATACACTGAACTCTTTTCAATATGACTATTTGTTTATTTATTTATTTATTTTGGCCGTACCATGTGGTATGCAGGATCTTCGTTCCCTGACCAGGGATCAAACCCATGACCCCTGCAGTGGAAGCAGAGTCTTAACCACTGGACCACCAAGGAAGTTCTTCAATATGACTTTTTAGGAGAGAGGAAGTTGAAGGGAAACTCTGACCCTGAGACTATGCCAATTTGTTCTCACCAATCTATAAAAGCTGGAACAGAAAGAAGAAAGCCCCCAGATATAACTTCATGTTCTTACAGTCTTTTTCCGACTTATCCTATTTTCTCCAGGACTCCTCCAGCTACCTGTCCCTGACAGTGCTTAATACAATTCTTCAGACATTTTTGTAATCCTAGAAATTAGGGTAAATTCCTCAGACTGGATTGTGCTATTCCCAAGTATTTGCTTTCCTTCTCTGCAAAAGAGTTACACTTCCCCACCCACTGACATCAGGCACATACAAGTGACTTGCCTCACCAGTGAAATGTGAGTGCAAATGACATGTCTCTCTTCTAAACAGCAACTTTAAGAGCCACCGTGTGGTTTCATCTTTCTTGCTCTTCTCCCTCTATCACTCTGGCAAGTGCTCCTTGCCCACATAGGGTCTGCCCTTTCACCCTTGGTCATGGATCGAAAGGACAGGAAGCAGAGCCAAAGCTAACCCAAGAGCCAAAGCTAACCCACTAAGGGTTAGATAGGATTCCAGTTAGACTGCTGTTGTTAGACTGCCATTGAGATTTGAAGTCATTTATTACTTCAGCATAACTTATCCTTCACAGCTCTTCTCCTTCCAGAACTACCACTAGCAGTAGCTAACACTGATTAAGCAGGTACCACTTACCAGGCACCGTGCTAAGTCCACTGCTTCATTAATCTTCATGACAAAGCCATGATGTAAATACTGCTGCTACCTCTATCTCACAAAAGAGGGAACCAAGAACTGGGAGGTTAGGTCACTTGCTCACAAGAGTGTATCACTCCCAAGTGGCAGCGCCAAGCCTAGTATCTAAGCTTCTGTTTCAGAGCAGCTTCACTTAACACTGCTTCAATAAATGCCTATCGAGCCAATGACTGAATGAAAATGCAGAGTGACCAGACATCTAGAATTCACACTGAAGAAGCCAGACTTTTCAGACTGACATGGAGAAAAGGATCACTATCTAACTAGGTTAAGCTAGGTTATGCTCTGGCAACAAGTGACCTCCAAAAATCTAAGTGCCTAAAAGCTATTAAGGTTTTTTCCCCCCTCCCTCATGATACAGGTCAATCACAGATTGGTCATATCTACAATTCAGACTGCAGAGTAAGAAGGATGGAAGGATGAATGGATGGATGGATGGATGGGTGGGTGGGTGGGTGGAAGAAAGGGCAATCTAATCATAGTATGTGGCAAATATGGCATCTCAACTCAGTGAGGAAACAGTGCCTCTTTAATAATTGGTGGGAGCAAACTACCATCTACATGGCAGTTCAGTATCTATTAAAAGTGTAAACATGGCTTCTAAAACCAAACCATTAGAAACTTCTTCACCTTGGTAGAAAAGAAAACATGAGTCTCAGGAGACATCTGGTTGTGAGAGATGCATCCTCCTCCAATCTCATGCTCTCAAATCACCATCATGCCCTTACTTTTCTCTCTACAGCACAACCCACCCCAGGAAGACTCATGGTGGCTAGGGAAAAGGGGCTGAAAAAGCCATTCTGCAGGAACCTCCAACAGAAACACACAATGTGGTAGATACAG